ACAAGGTGGCCGCCTGCAGCTCCAGGTGCAGAAGTGCTTTGGATGTGACCACCCTGGAGGGTTTCCTTCCAGCTGTACCTAGTAGGAAAAAACACTACTGGGTTATGAAGGAAATTTGTACCTTTACATGTTAACGAATTCTATTGGGACATTTACAACTGGTTTAATATGTTATTTGTGGTCATTCCCATTAAAAAAAAAAACAAAACCTATGCCTTCCTCTTGCAGTAACCCTTTGTTATGTCTTTATTTGTTGGAAACTCAAGTTTAACCTGGGCTTCCCTGGTGGCTCAGCTGGTAAAGAATCAGCCTGAAGTGCAGGAGACCTGAATTCGATCTCTGGGTTGGGAAGATCCCCTAGAGGAGGAAATGGGAACCCACTCTAGTATTCTTGCCTGGGAAATCCCATGGACAGAGAAGCCTGGCGGGCTACAGGTTTAACCCTGAATGCATCTTTGCAACTTATAGCATCTATTATAAGAATGTAACCCTGGTAATTGTCAGCCCTTTGGGTTTTAGAAATTATGAATCAATAAATGGTGAATGTAGTGGTTTAAAAGCACAAACCTAGGAACTTGCCTGTCTGGTCTCAAATCTCAGCTCTGAGTGACTTTAGACAGATTAACGGCTTTCTATCAATACTTAAGTGTCTCATAAAATGTCAATAGTAATAGTACCTTCGTTTTAGTCCTAGAAAACCTGGCACAAAGGAAGTGCTGCCACTGCTATTACTACTGTTATGGTTGTTGCTTTAGTATCTATACTGTATTTCTCCCAAATCTTCATCCCCAACATCACACATAGAAGTGCACCACTGTCTTGACTGAGTCACTGAGTCCAGAGTTGCTTGGAAGACAATTTAGACGTGTTTTTGAATCAGAGAATGATGATAAAAGTTAAAACCACATTAGAGGAGACAAAAAGGAATTTGACCACGTCCCTGCTTAAAAATATATTCTGCAGAGTCCCTTGTGTCCTGGACACAGAAGATACCAGTTTCTCTTTTTAAGCATTAGTATTGAGGGCATGTGACTTGTGCTTTATTTTCATTTTCATTGTCTAGGAATTTCCTTGGAGATGCCTCCGATCGGTGCCAAAAGTCTTGAGACTTATGCACCATTTCTCTATGAGTTTTCCGGATGAATGAGGCTTAATTGGATTCTAAAAACTTGGAAGCCATCTTGTTGTTCCTAGGTTATAAGGCTGAACATGTTTGGTTAAGAAAGTCTCTTGGGATCTAATCTGGCATCCACTTAGGTCTCGTTAAATGGGAACTTTAAAAGCCTCTTGCTGAGTGGGCTTCATCATTGTTGACCAAATGTTTCAAGATGTAGGCACAAACCATTTCGGTCAATTTTTTTAAGGATGGTGCAATTTTGAAGCAACAGTATGCTTTTCTACTTGGAAAGATGAAAATACACAGAGTGGCATGTTAACCAAGGTCATGTTCATCTTGTTTCTTTGCAAATTTATCTGTCCCACTTAATTTATTTGGAAGCAGTGCTAAGAGCTTGACTTATGTGACTGTTTTGTCTAGAAGAGACAGAGGGGTTTTTCTCTTTATGTAAAACAGCTAGGTTAATTGTTGTCTCCTTCCGCTGATAATGTAAAAAGGAAATATGAATGTAATGTAATGTGAAATGTAATGTAAAAAGGAAAGTAATATAACGAAAAAATCCACAGTTACTTCAGATTGTTGTGGACCCTGATGCCCATCATCCCCCACCCCCCCACCCAGCAAAGCAGATTTTGTCTTCCATCTGTCCAGTCATCTACTCTTTATAATGTACACCTGCCATTGTACTTACTAGCATATTGATGAATCTGATGGCAGAAATTCTTAAAAACTAGATATTTTGAAGGGAACCAATCTCCTGTAATCAAAATCGAGATAATGGAGAAATTGTTGTTGTTTAGTTGCTAAGTTGTGTTTGTTTTGTGACCCCTTGCACTGTAGCCCACCAGGCGTCTCTGTCCATGGGTTTTCCCAGGCAAGAATACCAGAGTGGGTTGCCATTTAGTAAGGTCATCTTAATTCACAGTGGTGTAAGAAGGAAGCCGTTGGAATTGTCAAGAATTTCTGGAATGGGCATGACAGAGCAAAGCCACGGTCCAGAGTCAGGCCAGATCAGTGACCACCCACACATGTGGAGGTGCATAAGAGGCCCGAGTCACTGCAGATGCTTCCTGTCCTATGAGTCCCTTTTCACAGAGGCAATACCTTCCTAGAATTTAAATTTACTCAGTGTGAAAAAATTTCCTTGGCAGAGTTTCCTTTCTACTTTGGAGGTAGAAGTCCTTAAAGATAACCCAAGTCAGTTTTCTTATTTTGTAGGTTCAGAAACTGAAGTCAGAGAGGTTAAGTGATTTGCACAAAAGCACACATGACTTAGTGGCTGAGCTGTAACTGAACCCGGGTCTCTGCCTTCTAAATTAGTGTTCCCTTCACTGATCATGCTGGCTGTCTGTGCTTATCCATTCAATTAGCAAATGTAATTGAAGGGACTCTAATTAGTTTGGCTCCTAAAGGCTTTTGTGGTTAGTGTCAGATTGGCAATAAGGTTTGTTTTTTTCCTGCCAGCTTTTGAGTCGTGGCCAAATTTTGTTAGTCAATTATTTCAGAGTCTTGAAGTCATCACATGGAACGCAAGATGATTTGAATAACTGGACACACATGTCTGTCTTATCTGTCTAATAAACATGCCTTTCTGTAGTGCAAATTAGAGACTGTTAGAATGTACCGAATGTATATAGTCATTAGATATGGAGCAGTTGTGGCCAGTAGAGTGGTGACATTCCAGCTATCACTATCATTGTGTGTTTTTTCCGGACCTGTGAGCTTTGACACTACTCTCCTATATAATTGAGGGGTTAGCAGTACTCTGGCAACCCAAGCATCCCAGGAAGCAGATGCTAAGGATGCAGGGGGCTGATTTGCCACCCCATGCACTTGGCAGTTGTTTGAATTGGCAGTGCCAATTCATGAACATGAGAAGCTTGGAGGTGTGAAGTATTCCTAGATCTGTGAGCTGATCGTAGGGGTCCCTGAAGGCACGTCTCAAGGAGCTATCTAGATGGAATTGAATTTCCTTCAGTGGAAGAGACTCAATTCCTAAGAGAAAGTTCGAAGTTGACTCTTAGACCTCAGGGCTGAGGTCTTAGAATATAGTCCCTGAAAGATCAAGAGAGATGGAGCTGCGTAGAAGGAAAGGCCGCTGAAAGGTACGCCACCATTTCGTCTGCGTTTATTACGTCATTTAAGTAGGGTGAGTGGGTGGGGCTCTGTCCATGTAACCCATATTCTTGACACAGTCCAGAAGTAGAAAATCACATCTCCTACAACCTTTCTTTTTCTTATCGTCTCATCTTACTGAACTTTTTTTTTTTTTGCTTGAATAAACTTAGAATTGTTTGCCAGGAAATAGTTGCCTCTTTTCAAATATCAGTATTTGTTTGAGTGTAGGAAAGGTTTTCACCTAACTTAAGCGTTTCTGTGTCATTGAATGGAAAAAATTTTTTTTCCGGAATGATTTGTGGCAGATCCCTGCTATATATCAAAATATACATGTTGTTGAATGTGCCGCATTGTAGACTCGAAAATACTGTGTTGCCTTTAGAATGAGAGAGACTATTTTTTTTTCTTTTCTTTTGGTTTTTAGAGTCTGTGGTGTTTCACTTAATGTTAACACACAAAGTGACAGGATACTTGATTGTCTGAAATTTTGAAGTACAATGTAGGAAATTCTGTTAAAACTTCCTTTATGTAGATTTTGATTTAGAAGCTGATAGTCTCTTATGGAAAATTGAAATGTAACTGCTTCTAGTTCATAATATTTAGATTGCACGCTGTGTTTGGCGTCTCATTCTTTCATCAGCTGAACATCAAAGACAAAAAGAAAACGTTTTGTATACTGCACTGCATGAAAAACAGAGGCATTCCCATTCCCAAGATACTTGTGTGTCAGTTCACATTTCCTTGTAGAAAATATGTTTGCTTCTAATGCATAAGTAAATCATCCTATGGAGAAATCTTTGATTATCCTCTTGATAATCATTTGTCTTTTTTTAAAGAGAGAAAAAGCTTTGGACAGGAACTTTTATGACAGGGTGATGGATTCTTTCTGTTAAAGGGGAGTTTTAGTCAAGAAGTGATTTCCTGGTCTCTTTTGGCCTCTTTGGTGGCTGACCAGCTAGTCAGGTGTATCATGGTGTATGTATGCGAGAGAGCAGAGGATGGGGGGGTGTGAGTGAGGGCAGATACATCCACGCTCGTATGCACCTACGTTCAGAGGATGGACAGAGCAGCTTTCCTGTGTGGTTGTTCGTGGTCATCGTTAAAGCAGAAGTCAGGGCTGCAGAGAGGGCGTGCCTTGAGGCCTGTTGGCCTGTCTTCCTTGTATGTGTGGTTTCCACAGGAGTCCTGGCAGCTCACGCTCTCAGACTCCCATGGTGGTCTGAGTCAGTGCAGGGCATGCTTGTCCTTGTTCTGACTTTAATGAAAAGGCTTATTATTATTATTTTTATTCTCTTGAAAAGAGAGGCTGGAAGTTAGTGGTAATGGGGGCTTGAGAATTTTCTTGGGGATTTTGCTGCTTATGAAATAACTGGTGAATCCTGTAGTTCAGCTACCAGCTCTGTTATACTAGAATGTTTTTCTTAGAGCATCTACCAAGAAGTATGCTGTTTTAAGAGTCCAAGTTGGAGGAATCCATGAGAAGTGTGTCTGTTCCCAGGACTGTTGGGTTTTGCCCTTTTCCCCCTCAACTCACTTCACACTTTTAAAAGTAAACAGTGGATGTGATTCCATAGAAACTGCATCTGTATGTGTGTAAGGAGTGGACTCTCTATTTTAGGCAGTAAGGTTTTTTTTTTTTGTCATTTGAAAACAAGTATTGGTTTTTGTTCACTGTTACTATTATAGGCATGCATAAAAAGTGAGTCCTACTTGTGCTCTAGAAGCATTTGATTTAAATAATGTGCCTTTGCAATTTTTTTTAAAGGTAGTGTCTTCCCCAGCAGATGTAGCTGAAAAAGCTGACAGAATTATTACCATGTTGCCCACCAGCATCAATGCGATAGAAGCTTATTCTGGAGCAAATGGAATTCTAAAGTATGTATTTCTCAACTATAGATATGTTCTTTCTATGATAGTTTATGAATTTCACATTTGTTAGAACAGTTGTGAAATTACAGTTATGTTTGTAAAGTCTTCTTGTACTGTTTTCTTATGTCTGAAAAGTGAATGGTGTGGTTTCTCTCTCATTGTAAAGGGTTTATTTTTTCACTGAAGTCAAGTATGTGACTTTTGGGAATGAAATTTTTTTGTTTCTCTTCCTTTAACTCTTGCATTAAACTTACACTTTCACTGGTAAGCTGTTTTAAGAGACTTTTTAAAGCTTGACTTTAAACTGTACACAAATGTTACAAGCATACTTTTCTATGGTTTATAGAAATTCAGGAAAAGATTTCTATGAAAAATAAAACCAAGCATTGGAAAGAACACTATTATTTAAAATTTATTATGAAATTAAGTTACTGTATGTCCTCTGGGTTAGTACATCTGTAGTAAGAACTTTGAGAAGCTGGAATGAAAGATTAGCAGGAGCTCCCTGAATAATATATAATTTAGGCCAGCATTTCCTACCCAGTGCCTCACTTCAAGAACCTTTTGGTTACTGGTGCCTGCTGCCAGACCCTTGTGGTTATATTAGGATGGCAATGGTTGAATTCCCAGTTTAGGTTTCTGGTCTTACTGATTCCTGTACCTAACTTGTTTTGTTGTTGAATTTTAGCAGAGAGCTAGAACAAACTGTTAGGCTCAGTAGACACATGAAGGGCTGAAAGAAAGGGTTTTAATTTCATGGAGCTGTAATACATGGAATGTGAGCTTTTGGGAAATGGAATTGCCTTGGAAAACTAGCAAACTCAGAAGCAAAAGACACTTGAATATTAGGCAGAAAACCGATAAGATAAATGTTTGGATTGCAGAGAAGGTTGAAAGACACTCATTTTGGGTGAAGCCCTCAGGCCCTCAGTGTGTGTGGTCCTGAGTGCCCTAGCTGTGTCATTCCCTGGTCTGTTCCAATACGCCCTGCTTTACCTCTCAGGGAAGAGTTGCTAAAAACTTGGTGTAGACAAAATCCTATGTTTATTAATATCCTTTATTAGGAATATGGTGGCCACCAACCAGGGTGGTTTTGTCTAGGGAGTGCTCTGAAGGAGTTTGGCTTTACATTGAACTGTAATTTGCTTCTCATGGGTGGTTCTTTATTTTCTTCTGGGTCAGGATCACTTCCCCACACCCAGTTGCATGTGTAGTTTTTGAGATGATTTCCCATTTGATTAAAGATTTAAGATCTTAAAAATACTAACATCACACACACACACACACACACACACACACACACACAAAATACTAACATCATAGAAGATTGGTAAACTTAATTCTCATATTTTAGGGTATATACATCCTGGAGTGTATCTATAATAGAGTATGCTGTTTCCTTTTTATGGAACATACTCAGTTACTGCACTTAGACCAGATCAATTCGTATGTCAAAAATTGTTGCTTAAAGCATTTTATGTGCTATTTTTTTTCTGTAGAAGAAATTTTTTTAATGGTTTTAGCAGTGATTTTCTGTTTCCCCTTTAATATTTATATTTATTCAGTTTTAATTTTTGAATCATAGTTATGATTAAATGTCTTGTGGGTTAGTTTATCTGTAGTAAAAACTTTGGGAAGGTTAGCCATAGTCCTTTAAAAAAATTATAATTTAGGTCTATAATTAAATTATAATTACAAAATTATAATTTAGTTAATTATAATTAACTAATTATAAATTAGTTTACAAGCCAGTGACAATAGCATAGATTATATACTGTAAGGGAACTCGACAGGTATATAGTCTGTATTTAGAATGCAAGCAAAACTTTTACTTTAAAGTGAAAGTGAAGGTCACTCAGTTATGTCCGACTCTTTGCGACCCCATGGACTATATATACATAGAATTCTCCAGGCCAGAAACTGGAGTGGGTAGCCTTTCCCTTCTCCAGGGGATCTATGCAACCCAGCTCTCCTGCATTGCAGGCGGATTCTTTACCAGCAGAGCTACAAGGGAAGCCCTTTACTTTAAGAATGCCATTTAAATATTGATGTAAAATATGATATATGAAAAGACTGCTTCCCCCTTTTATCAGTGTATATATATAAATTTACCATAAAGAATAAGAAGACTCTTTGAGATTTCTAGGTCTATTCCTATATTTTCCTTAGTATCTGTTTGATATTTTATTTTGTCTTTACAAAGTTGCAATTATTAAAGAATATGCCATTTTAAGGCAAATGGCTAAATTTTAATTGCTTATATTTTTTCTACCTAGTGGAAATAAAATGGATATGTGAAATTTGCAATATGGCTTGTTAAAAACAAGTAAATTACTTTTTAAAGAGACCCAGCTATTTTACAAACAAAAATTTAAATCTTAACAAATAGCCCCTTTAAAGTTAATAGGTGTTTAAAATTGCTTACATCTTAGCTCACCTACATTATTATGGTTAATGTGTATTTCATGTGAAACCAGAATTTATACCATGTAGTTTATTAGGTTACTTTGGTTTATTTGAAATAGTTTGAGTTTACTTTGAACTGTAATTGATCTGAAAATGAATTTGAGATTTTGAACCAGTTCTAATAATGAGCTTTTAAAAAATATAATTTATTTTTGGCTGCTCTGGGTCTTTGTAACTGTGTAGGCTTTTCTCTAGCTGCAGCAAGCCGAGGCTACGCTCTAGTTGTGGTGTGCAGGCTTCTCATTGTGATGGCTTCTCTTGTTGCAGAGCGCAGACTCAGTAGTTGTGGCACACAGCTTAGTTGCTCTGTGACATATGGGATCCTCCCTGATCAGGGGTCAAAACCATATCTCCTGCATTGGCAGGTGGATGCTTTACCACTGAGCCACCAGCGAAGTCCCTAATAATGTTTCTAATATTTACACCAGAGACTTCCTTGATATCTGGCAGCTTTTAGCAGATTCTGATTCTATAAGTAGTTGCATGAAATACTTATTCAGAGTTGTAAACTATATTTTTAAAACTCTAAAATTGTACTTTTTAAAAAACTATATTTCTGTTTGTTTACTTAGAAAAGTGAAGAAAGGCTCACTGTTAATAGATTCCAGTACTATTGATCCTATGGTTTCAAAAGAACTGGCCAAAGAAGTTGAAAAAATGGGAGCAGTTTTCATGGATGCCCCTGTTTCTGGTGGTAAGTGGTAGCTAAAATAGATGCACACCTATTCTGTTTGTCAGAAGTAATAATTACAATTTTGTGGTACCCAAGATAATCCAATTATTTTTAGTTATTGAAGATTCTCAGTTTCCTTGTTACAAATAAAAACAAAGCAAAACTGACTTATGTTGTTTAGCCCTCTCCAAATACAATGCTTGTTCTAAACTCAGATAAAAGGATGTTACAGCTTTGAAGAGCTGTGAATTTTTTATCTAGATTGCTGTGTGTAGGGCTAGATCAATTGCTAGAAGATTTGAACTTTTCAGAACAGATTCAAGAAATAATTAGCCTGAATAATCTTGTAACTATTAAAGAAACTGAAGAAGTAGCAAAAAAGAGAAGATGATTTCATGAGGAAAATGCTAGGCCCAAGTGATTTTACCAAATGTTACCAAAATTTCAAGGAGCATACCATCTCAACTTTATATGAACTTTCCCAGACAATAGAAACGAGGAAATGCTTCCCAAATCATTCTATAAGATGTGTATAACTCTGATAATTAAACCAGTTAGAAACATTATGAGAGAGAAAAACTATAGGTCTGTATCAGTCATGAATATAGAAGTAAAAACTTTATAAAGTACATTAACAAATGAAATACAACTGTATGAACGAGATCAGGCACTGCAACCAGGTTCAGTTTATCTCATGTATGTATAGATAGCTTAATATTAGAAAATCTATAAATAAATTTCAAAATCAACAGCATCTCAATCAGAGGACAGGGAGCTAATAAAATTCTAAAAGCTTAATATTATATAAAATACTAATATGGATATCTGGGTGTTTTGGAATGGCAGGATTATGATTTCCTATAATTTAAAAATTTTCCAGAGTTACTGTGTAATCAAATATATATCCACATACACATACATATGTACATACATATATACACATACATATGTAATTATAGCAGTAGACAAGGGAATAACAATTTTATTCCCATTAAATTTGATTGTTGGCTTTGGTATTAAAAAATAATGAAATATAATAATTTAAATCAGTTTCTGTTTCATAAAGAACCTAGTGGGCTTGTAAAGGAATCTTATATCCCAAACCTTTTTGATTATAGAAAGTGAAAGTCGTTCAGTCATGTCCGACTCTTTGCGACCCCATGGTCTATATATAATAATTTAAATCAGTTTCTTTTTCATAAAGAACCTAGTGGGCTTGTAAAGGAATCTTATATCCCAAACCCTTTTGATTATAGAAAGTGAAAGTCATTCAGTCATGTCCGACTCTTTGCGACCCCATGGTCTATACAGTCCATGGAATTCTCTAGGCCAGAATATGGAGTGGGTAGCCTTTCCCTTTTCCAGGGGATCTTTCCAACCCAGGGATCAAACCCAGTCTCCTGCATTGCAGGCGGGTTCTTTACCAGCTGAGCTACAAGGAATCCCAAGAATACTGCAGTGGGTAACTTGTCCCTTCTCTAGTGGATCTTCCCATCCCAGGAATCCAACTGGGGTCTCCTGCATTACAGGCAGATTCTTTACCAATGAGCTCTCAGGGAAGCCCTTTGAGTATAGGTGGAGGTATAAATAATTTTTAGCCCCTATAATTGTTAAATTGAATCATTTAAGTAGGATTTTAGGTGTAAAGATTTATAATGTGGTATGGATCTTTGATTACAAAATACTAATAATCAACTTTAAGCTTGGTATTGGAATTTATTTATAGAATAGATTCAGTTTTAAAAACAAACAAACAAAAAAAAGAATAGATTCAGTAAATGAACAATTCTTTGTTCTTTGAGTGGTTCTGTAATTTAATTTGACAATTGATATGGAACATATCAATTGATCTTATTGATTGATCTTTTGCTTTAAGAGTATAGCCTGAAATTATCATTTGATAACGAAAAATACCAACTTGATTTTTTTTTTTCAACTTGATTTTTAAATGTTATTTTAACCTTTAAAATAGAGTCTTCTTTGTGATAAAACTTTGAGATTACTCCTCGTCATTATCAAGTTATTTTTAATCACAGTTTTGTGGTTTTAGAGTATAAAAATGCTTATTTGTAAAAGTGAATTCACTTCAGTCTGATCTGTATTACAGATTGAAAACTTTGTGTAGAGACGGTTTGTGATTATTTGTTGCTTGACACATTATCATTATGAGATTGGCCAGCATATTATAGAAACTTATGTTTGTCTTCTCATAGTTAGTATTTTTATATTTTTTATATGGGTTAAAATTGTCTGCACTTTCTCAGTTAAAATAGAGGAAAGTTTCTGTAAGTTAGAGTTAGCAGGTTTTAAAATCATTGTATTTTAACTAAATAAAATTTAGGAAAAGCCTGGTTAGACACCCAAATGGGCTTACAGTTTTACAGAGGTTCTATGTTTGTCAATCTTAAAACATTTTATTTGAGGTAATTTTCATAAAATCTTAAAAAAATTTCCCCCATTTTTATCCTCCTCCCCCCACTCTTCATTTGTTTCTTATCTTAGGCTTAAAAAATGCATTGTTGTGTAATTATATAGAGGTGTTACCTACAAATACAGTAGTATTCTGAATATTAAAATGGGAACACATTATACTCCTTATGCTGTGGCTAGCATTTTAAAGAGAACCTTTTTTAAAATCCAGATGAAGAATTTGAAGTTTTACAGATTTTTAAGACAGTGATTTCTTCAGTCCAGCCCCTTCTTCTGCCTTCTGCTAGCTTTTTCATTTTTATTTGTTTCATATGATTTTTTAAAAAAAATCAAAAGCAAATGATGCTTAAACTGTTGTAATTATCATCCTGAAACCAAGGTAAATAACTGTTATATGCTTGTGCAGTTATCACTTTGTACCATAGATACTACTTTATAAAATATTTTGACATACCTCAACCGATTTTGGTGCTTCCTTTTTTAACTTCCCCAGCCAGGGATCAAACCCTTTGCCTCTGCATGGAGGCAAAGCACGGAGTCTTTAACCACTGGACCACCAGGGAAATCCTGGTGCTTCCTTTTGAAGCTGTGAAACTGTACATGCCTTTATCAAAGCCCGTATTACATTATATTTATAGATGTTGATTCTCTTCTTCCTGTAAAGCTTAATGTTTTTGAGTGCAGGGAGTAAGTTTTTTCCCCGAATTTTTATTAAATACGAATTTATATATAAAATATTTATAAAATTATAAAGGTACAAACTATAAGTACACATCAGGCCCATGTGTTCCCCCCTCCCAGTTTAAGAAATAAAGCCTTATTATTACCTTTGAAGTTCTTACGTGGTTCTACTCTTTGTCTTATCTGGGGTGGCTATTAATACTTAATTTGACCTTTCTGGATATTTAAAGAGAGGGTAACGCCAGATCTGATTCATACACCTGATTCTAGGCTAGTGAAGGATTTTAAGTTCTGGAAGTGGAACATTTATGTTAAAGATCAGCTGGAAACCTTGGAGATGATTCACAGATCCAAGGAGAACCATTGGAATTTGGAGTTAGATTTGACTATTCTGTAGTAAATACTCTTTAAGCGAGGAAGAAAGGAAATTGGTTAGTTCATATAATTCTACCACCTTTGGTTTCATTTTCTGTTGTACTTCTGTTGATAAATTGAAAGACCTTCACTTTTAAGTTCCAGGGAGCCTGGAACTTAAAAATAAAAGTGAAAGTCTTCATTTTTTTCTTCAGTGGAATGTCTTATACTTAAATTATTGTATTTATATAATTCTTAGAGTGTTATATACTGTTTTCTGATCATGTATTCTAATATTCTCTTTTATGCTGACAGGACCTTGATTGCAGGGGACATGCTTCATTCTTCCTTTCGTGCAATAAATATTTATTGAGTACTTGTTATGTACTAGGTATGTTCTAGGTACTAGAGATAGAGCTTTAAAGATCCTCAACATCTTTTGTCTTATGGAGCTTATGATTTGATCAGAATAGAGAGGATAAACAAATAAGAATAATTTCAATAGTAAGTACTATGAAGGAAAAAACACAGAGTAAGCAGTTAAGGAGACAGACCAAGGGGAGGGCCCTTTTACATCGAGTGGACAGGGAACCTTCTCTGGGGAAGTGACATTTAAGCAGAGATCTGAACGCATAGGTCCAGGAGTAGAGTGTTCTCAGTGGAGAGTGGTACCCTGTAAGGGTTCTGAGGCATGAACAAGCTTGGTATGCTTGTGGAACATCTGTCTTTGTATTGCTAGGACTTAGCAGGTAGTTTCACTTGGAGTTAGTTAAACTGGATCACCTGTATATTGAGTCCCTGTATGTCTAATGCCATGCCTTTGTTTAACAGTTTGTTCATCACAGTAAAGCTAACCAGGATCTCTGTTAGCCATGACACTGGCCTCATAAGTATGATGCCCTAATTTATTTATCTGTTTTGTGTAAATCATATCTTTATGAAAGTTAATCCTTTAATGGGAAATGTTGTTTAGTGACACTGTTTTGGACACATGCTTTTTTTTTGAGGGGGGTGTGGTCTGCTACCACAGAGTCAGTTCCAGTTTGATCAGCTCTCTTGAATAATGAATGCTAAATATAAAGCAAATTAAAAACTATTGTTTGTAATCGATATCTAAATACTGTTCTTTCTGTGCCAAGGGCATAATTATAGCATTTAACTGTGCTTGAATAATGGAAGAATCAGATCATTGATTGCATAGTATGTCTGTAGGTTTGCACAGAAACCTTGAGTTGAAGTGATTCTGAAATGGCTATTGTAGATAGCCCAAGTCTTTCTGTGCTGGCCAGCCTCATTGATTTGCTAAACTGTATTGCCCTGGTTAGGATTAATGTCAAAATTAAATAATTGAACTTGTGTGTATGTGTTTGTATAACAGTTCCTGACGAGGAAACCAGATTTTATACTTTACTTGGCTGGGTTAAATTTTAGTAATTTGTTGGAGGTATTCTTAGAATATGGAATAGTAAGCATAAGACCTATTAAGGAGTTTCTCTTAGAGTGCTAGACTTGCTTGCTTAATTCTTCAGTGAAAGTCTCACATAGACTCCATTATT